GTGGTTTCATTCTGAGGAATGGGATCCCCGTTCGACCTTTCATCAGTTTGTCTAACAATAATTTTGGCTCTCAGTGTGTTTGCTTACGTCAGATTCTAGCTGTTAGCATTCTTCCAAACTCATTGCAGTTGCATCATGAAACTGATTGCTGATTTTAATGTCGACCTCTTTTGTTTGCATGTTGGTGCGTCATCCCGTGTTAGTGTCTGACCTTTAGTCTTTTCCTTTCCTGTTTGGCAAAGACCAATCATTATATATGGAACTAGGATTGGGACAATATTACATGTGACTTGTACCAAGCTTTGTAACCTGTAACATGTTTTGTAACTGTAACTTTTGTTTTGTGGCATGTAATTCTTGTTTTGTAACACGTAACATGAAACTTTCATTTTGTAACTTTGCGAAAACAATGTGCAAGTTTCAAATCACAACTCGCAAAACACACATCTCATTGTACAGTTACAAAATTTAAGTCTACAAGTACAAAATATTTAGTCTCAATTCTAGCTTCCTTCCCAAATAACCAATGACAGGCTTTGTCTGACCAGCCAATCGTGAGTCTTGGATTCCTGTCCAAGACAATTCCTTTTGGAAGCAAGCTCGAATTGGGACAAAATATTTTGTACTTGTAGACTTGAGTTTTGTAATTGGCCGCTTTTTTTGGGCCGCTTGTACCTGCAATCTCATTCTTTCGGTCACTTCCCAAAGCTTGTGACCATAGGTGAGGGTAGGAATGTAGATCGACTGGTAAATTGAGAGCTTTGCCTTCTAGCTCAGCTCTCTTCACCACAACAGATCGGTACAACGCCCACAGTACTGCAGATGCAGCGCCTGTCGATCTCATGCTCCATCTTTCCCTCACTCGTGAATAGGGCTGCAACAAACGATTATTTGGATAATCGATTAATCGGATGGGGTCTCGACACGATTAATCGATTAATCGGATTACATGGGGACATTTTTAAAAACTGCTAGGGAAACGTTATTTCTCTCCTTCCTTCAATTTATTTAACACAACTTTATTAGAAAACAGTTCAATAGCAGAAAAACAACATGCCATCACCTAAATTGTCTTATAAGGTGTATAGACAGAGACCCTAAGCTACATCTATCTGTGACCTAAAATGCTTGGTCCAAGTTAAACAGCTTAAGGGCAATTCTCATCTGTTTTGTTTGATCTCATCTGTTGACATTTATTTTAAATGTAATTAAACATAGGCTGTGAATTAATCAAAATTGATCACTATTTCCAAAAATGACTGAAAAAATACCAAATAAAACAAAAGTAAATGAATGCCATCCTCCTTGCGATGATGCCCTGGGCAACTGCCATAAAGTCACATCAAGAAATGCTGCTGATCATTCCAATGATCCCAAATAGACTCACATTAGGCCACATGAAAGCAACTGAACCCAAAAATATATTAACCAGTATATAACTGCACTCTCACACAACACGCCTGCAGCAACAGTTAGGACTCCTCCCTCCCTTTTAAAAGCGTTTTTGCTTCTGAGGACATTGTGGTTGTAAAACCACATGCTAGTAGTCTGGCCCCGGTGTGATCAACCAGTTTCTGCGGGAATGTGACGGCGGAACCAGGGCCAGATTAACACTTTGTTGTATCCTGGGCAACAATATTCAAGGGCTCCATCATCACGACCCAAGGATCACCATAATGTGGTCACATACAGAATATTTTACTGTAATATGCAGTAAATATACTCAATACTTGAATGCCTGACAACACGTAACCCGCCCAGAGTAACCTTTGACCCACCTCGTGTGGACTGACCAATGAGGAGAGGGTCTTAACTTGAGGCCCTCTCTTCATTGGTCAGTCTGCATGAGACTGACTCTCAACTGACGTTCAGTCGTAGGCAGCGAAGCGTCTCTGTGCAGTGCAAAAGCCCGGGTGGACAGTTTGTTTAATATAGGGTGACCATATTTCCATTTCCAAACAAGAGGACAGGGGATCTGTGCCTATGACGTCACACTATGGCAACGCCTCACAAACCATGTTGGGACCCATTTTTTGTAAGAACTAAATTAATATCAGATTCTGCCAATTAAAGGGCTCTAAAACAATTCATATGTAAATATTTTGCATATTTAATGCAAAATCTAATTTTTCTGCTTTAGTGCTGCAACAAGGTTTTATTAATAATAAATTATTATACCTTTTGTTTTACTACAGCATCGGTAAGCTTCCTGTGCACAGATTATTAAGGATGCTTGTTTCAGCTGTGAGATTAGACGATAGGATCAATGAAAAAATAAGTTGTCACACACTCCATGGAAACTTTCAGAGAATCCACAAATAGCGGCTTTCAAATAGTTTTGATACTTTTTGCAAGTTTATAAAAGCAGCAGATGAGACAGCATGTCTGATAATTTAGTTTTTCATCTGATAATATTAGAACATGTCAGTAATGTCTGAGGGGCTTTTATAAACACCATATAACTAACACTACTGGAGAGGGTATGGATTACACAGAGGCTTCTGGGGAGCCCAGTTATTGGGGGGGGGGGGGGGTTGGGGCATTTTGCCTTGGCCCCCAAAATGTCTTGAAACGGCCCTGGGTGTGTGACTGAGTGTTGAAGGTGACCTGAATTGTATCAGATGTATAAATATGACATGTGTATAACTTATTGTTTTTTACTGGTAAAAACGTGTAGTGGAGATAAATCTACCTACATTTTACTTTTCAACACTTTGTTTTGTTTTCTTTTTATTGAACTATTTTCCTGTCCTGTCTGTCTCTCTTCTTCCTGCATCTCCTCTTAATTCTCCAGAAAATCTGTTGCCTGGATTCTTACCTTTTCACCTCATCAGTTACTTTTGAGCAGATCAAAGGGATCTCCTGACCGAAAAGCGCAGAGCGCGTTTTCGATGCTGCGTCAGTGAGGTGACATCACCACAGCACAGGTGATGAGCTCCGCAGTAGCGAGCTTCAGGCACAAATAAGACAGAAAATAGAGAACATGAGCGGACATGAACGATCGTGTGCTAATTATAGTTTTTTGGTTGCGCCACTTTGAGAATGGACCGTGCGCTGGAAGCAGCTGCCTGGATCGCTGTGCAACAATGCGGAACCGGTTCGCAGCAGCGCAAGTCTGCCGGCTCTCCCTCACGCTGATCTGCGGCTCCCCCTCGCGCTGATCTGCGGCTCTCCCTCGCGCTGATCTGACTTGCTCTGGTCTGCGCTCAACGGCGGGCGGGAAGGGGGGGGGGGCGCTTTTGGAAGAGTTGTGCGACACAACGAATCGATGACGCAATTCGTTGCCAACGCTTTTAGTAATCGATTTTCATCGAATTTATCGATTCGTTGTTGCAGCCCTACTCGTGAACAAGACCCCGAGATACTTGAACTCCTTCACTTGGGGCAAGACCTTGTCCCTGACCTGGAGAAGGCATTTTTAAGGCATTCTACCTTCTTGTCTCAAAAGATCAATTAACTTGTGAGTTAATAGCAAATATTGATTTTGACTAGCGGTTAGGTTGTTAACCTATAATGAAACACACACTTGACCAGCTTAGTAGCCTAGTGGTAGAGTGTCCGCCCTGGGACTGGGATATCGGGGTTCGATTCCCAGTTGGGTCATACCGACCAAAGACTTAAAAAAGGTGACCCAATGCATCCCTGCTTGACACTCAGCTTTAAGGGGTTGGATTGGGGGTTTAAACCACCAAATAGTTCCCAAGCACAGCCACCTCTGCAGCTCTCCGCTTCCCTCCATGGGGATGGGTCAAATGCAGAAATAAATTTCACCAGTGTGTGATGATGACTATGGGACTTAAACTTTAACACACACGGGCACTTGAATTAACAAAATAAATCACTAACTAACATTACAAACTATTTATCAACACTTATCATACTACTCTCAGGCGCTGTATCTCAACCCTGACCATCAGGCAACTAAAGCAAAACAAAGCCTCTGTGCATGCGCACTAAGGTTAGGCAAGCCAGTATGAGTAGTATCTACATCTTGATCAACTTTTGATATTTTTCCCTTACGTAATTAACCTAAACTCAAAACAAATGATAAAAATTACTCATAACGAATTGCAGCTTACCTCACAAAAATGCTATGAAAGGCACAATATTTGTAACACAGAGTGCAGCAGTTTCCTTAGAATGCTCCAACCGTGAGCAGAGCTCCCTTTTATACTCACAGCGCCCTTATGAGTATGGAAGCCGGTATGCGCCAACCCACATAATTTGGATCAGGCTTATTTCATCCTGCTACATTCACATTTAGCTTGTAGTTTAAAAAATATCTCCATCTTTATTCATTCTGTGATATTTGTTGTTGCATTGTTTGGCCCAAGAACCTTAACATTAAAACTATTTGAGATATTTTGTATCTATTTAAGTTTTGAAAATTAAATGTAATTTACACTAATTTATACTGAAATGTATTCTATACTTTTTAGAATTATTTGTTCTACAATTCTTGTGGTATGTGAGAATGTTCAGAAACAAGAAGTCTTTTTTACATGTATAAACGGAAGAAAATAATATTTCACGACATATATCGTTACCGCATGTCCCTTAAAATGTATCGTGAAATAGATTTTAGGCCACATGGCTCATTCCTGCCATGGGATATTGTGAAGAGGAAAATGCAATACGCGAGAGCCACTATCTGAACAACTTGGGCTCTCATCACACCTGAGCAGTGCCACAGACTGATGGACTCCATGCCACGTCGTATTGCTGCAGTCATCCAGGCGTTTAATAAATACAGGCCTTTTACAAATGTTTGAGGTTGTCAAGGTGTTACAAAAATCTGATTAATTCTAGTAATCCTACATTTAAAAAAACATTTTTACATTCACCTCAGATGAAAAAGTCACTCAATTCACAAGTTTTGTTCTCTGATTTAGTTCTGATCTCACCAACTTTAACCAATAATTCATCTGTTCGTTAATATATGTGTGAAAATAAAGTTACAGTGGTTATTAATTTACATAATGTGTTTCTGTTTCCCATAGATGTTCACCAGAGGGTTAAAGAAGAAGCTCCTGAAGATCAGAGTGCTGGTGTGGACCAGCAGGACCCAGAAATGTTCCACATAAAGGAGGAACAGAAGGAACTCTGGACCAGTCTGGAAGGAGAGCAGCTCCACTTGAAGGAGGAGACTGGTCCTGCCAAGTTTCCATTCACATCAGTTTCTATAAAAAGTGAGGATGATGAAGACAAACCTCTGCTCTCACAGCTTTCTTATCAGCAGCAAATGGAAGACAGAGATGTTCCAACCAGCAGTTCAGCTGACCAGACAACAGCAGAAACTGGTAGAGGAGCAGAATCTATCAGGAACCCAGTTCTGAACCCTAATGAACAGATATCTGATTCTTCAGAGACTGAAGTTAGTGGAGATGATGTGAATCTAAACGTTGAGTTATTAGACTCTGGGCCTAAAGAGGTTCTCCACAAGTGGTCTCTCCAGAGACGTGTGACAGTGACGAGTCATTCAGCAATAAGATCTTCAGAATGTGTGGTTAATAAGAAAAATGTGACGCAACATGAGGACTCATGCAGGAAAGTCCAGAAAAAAACAAAATCGTTTAGTTGTGACTTTTGTGGAAAAAAATTTAGTCATAAGAAAAGTTTTAACAATCACATGAGAGTCCACACAGGACAGAAACCCTTTGCGTGTGAGCTGTGTGAACAAAGATTTAGTCATTGGTCAAATTTAAACAGTCACACGAGAGTCCACACAGGACAGAAACCTTTTGCGTGTGAGCTCTGTGGAAAAAGCTTTAGTCACAGGTCAAATTTCAACAGACACATGAGAGTCCACACAGGACAGAAACCCTTTGCGTGTGAGCTCTGTGAACAAAGATTTAGTCATGGGTCAACTTTAAACAATCACATGAGAGTCCATACAGGAGAAAAACCCTTTGCATGTGAGCTTTGTGAACAAAGATTTAGGCATGGGTCAAATTTAACTAGTCACATGAGAGTCCACACAGGACAGAAACCCTTTGCATGTGAGCGCTGTGGAAAAACCTTTAATCACAGGTCAAATTTAAACAGACACATGAGAGTTCACACAGGAGAGAAGCCTTTTGCACATGAGCTCTCTGACCAAATATTTAGTCATGGGTCAACTTTAAACAATCACGAGAGTCCACATGGTACAGAAACATTTTGCCCGTGAGCTCTGTGGGAAAAGCTTTAATCAAAAGACAACATTAAACAGTTAAATGAGAGTCCACACAGGCCAGAAACCTTTTGCTTGTTGGCTAAGTGGACAAAGATTTAGCTATAGTCGCATGAGAGTCCACGAAGAACACAACAAATGTATTTAAAGGCTCTTAAAGTTTTAATGTATTTTACTGTCTTAAATGTTCTTTTTAATAATCATGTTTTAAAGTACCGTATTTTCCGGACTATTAAGTCACACTTTTTTTCATAGTCTGCCTGGTCCTGCGACTTATATACCAAAGTGACTTAAATACCAAATTATGTATACCGCGCTGCTGCGGGCCGGCTTCAGACCAGGAATGAGCTCCCCTGCCCCGCCATCACCTGCTGGAGACCGTTGCGCGCTGCTGCGGGCCAGCTCCGGTCCAGGTTTCAGCTCCTCTGCCCCGCTGGGAGAATTTCAAACACCGTCATCACCTGCTGCAGCCTGTGGCGGGGTGCTGCATGACGCTCTCCCCGCCTGCTGGGAGGGTTTGAAACACTGCCATCCTCTGCTGGAGACCATGACGCACTGCTGCGCCCTGATTGTTTATTCTGTTATTACCGGTACTTGTCTTGCAATGTGAAATGCTTGGTCTCAGATTTTGTAAGAAAAATAATAAAATTTCCCCCCAAAATGCGACTTATAGTCCAGTGTGACTTATATATGTTTTTTTTTTCTTCATTATACAATTTATGGATGGTGCGACTTATACTCCGGAAAATACAGTAAGTCTCAGGGCTTTTTCCTTCCAGCTCAGCTCTGGTATGCTGATAAGACATGTAATTTGTCTCTGTGGGGGTTGGTGGAATAATCTGCCCGGCAACAGGAATCCATAGTTTCTGAGTGACTCAGCAGTTTATGGCCGTCAGCAGACTTCCTTTTTGGAATGTCCCGCCTTAGCCTAGAAACAACATTGTTATTGGATAGTGCAGAGAGTGATGAATTGCTCTTTTTTTCATTTTTTCCTGTGTTTCAATAAAAACTGGGGTGGGGGAAGAGAAGTTGGAGCGAGATGGATGAGGTTCCTATCAGGTTTCCTCCACTTCTGGCTCTCCGCTGCAGCATATCACCTTACTAATCCTTTCTCTTGTGTGGTTTATTTTAAGGATAAAAAAATACCCAACATTTTGGTGCTGTGACTTGGCCATAGAGGGGGCCCCGCTGTGGGACGTCGTCGAGGAGCTGCGGTCGCGCCGACTTTAAAAGCCACGGAGCTTCAATTGTCTCACGGGCCAGCTGTGATAACTTCGACTTCGTCTCCCAGCATGGCCGCTCCTACGTCCGGCTCAGTTTGACCCACACATCCGGGGGGGGGGGGGGGGGGGGGATCAGTAAGTTGGATTTCCTTTTACACCTAATATCTAATGAGTCAGGGACGGTCCATTACATTTAAAGGTTCGAGTAGTTGTCGTCTTCCTCCGCTTATTCAGGTCCAGGTCGCAGGGGCAGCATCCCAACTAGAGAGCTCCAGACCGTCCTCTCCCTGGCCCGGTTATGAGCATATCCAGGTTTTTGGCGGTGTTTACATGGCCGTGCGAAACCAGGTTATTGTGAATATTCGGGTTTTAAAAGGGTTACTGGCTGCATGTAAACGCACTCATTGACACTAGTTAGTGACTCAATGCAATTGGCTGGGTTCCTTATATAGGAAAATTTTTACTCATTGGCTTAATGAACAGAACTGTATTGGAATGTTTACTTTGTGAAGTGCCTTGAGAAAATTCTTGTTATTTGGTGCTTCGTTTATAAATAAACTTGAATTGAATTTAAAATGTAAAAGAATGAAGTTGCTGAGCAGGAATCCAGGAGGAGGTAGAGGAGGCAGCAGATACGGTAGGACAGAGCAGCAGCAGAGCAGGAAGATCCTCTGATGATCCTCTATCAGATCCAGAGGAACACACAGCTTGATGCTGGACTCCAGAGCTGTTCTCAGATCAGTTCCCACTGCAGAACAGAGTCATCTCCACTTCTTCTGGTTCTTCTGTCAGTCACTGTTGGATGAAGCTCTCCTCTCCAGCTCATAGAAACATGGTCCAGTCAGAGTCTCTGCTGTTTCAGCCTGTCTGGATGGTTACTATGACAACAAGCTGCAGAGAGATGCATAAAGATAAGTGATGAATGAGTGAAGTGAGTGATGGTCCAGACAGAACAACACGCTGTGTTTCCCGTCAGATTGATGTCATATTAGTGTCAGAAGCACTGATCCAGGATCTGACAGACAGGGACTCTTCATGACTGCAGACTCAGGAGTGATGGATTTACTGCTGTTCCATGTCCACTGCTGCATCTGAAGAGTCTGTGTGTTGATGAACGTCTCATCTGCTTCTGATGTATCAGCTGATCCACAGATCCTGAAGCTGTTGTTGAATGGGGTTTAATGAAACCCTTCTATGTTAATGATTACGTTCACCATCTTCCTCTGGTGGCCTCTTCAAGCACTACATGAAATGCTTATAATAATAAATAATCATCAAATTAGCTTGTAACCCGTTTACAAGCATAAATAGAAAGAGTTACCCCTAACTTGCATAACCCGATTTAAATGCGGACGTTGGGGTAGCGTCAGGACGTATGGACTACGTCCAGACGCAATATGCGTCATTTCTGGTTCTTCTTGTTCCGGTATCCGTGAAAACAACAACATGTTTCCCAGTTCGGAAGAGATAGCGACCGCGTTTGTTTGCGCTTTAGTTTCCTCGTCACTCCAAAAGTGTGGAGCTGTGCCGCGACTCGCCATGTTGCTCCCAACTTGTTGTTTACTTCCGGTGTTCTGGCGCGTACAAGACGTCTCGCTACTCAAAAGACCAAGACTCCTTGCGAACAGAGCATGCGCAGAACACACGCTTTGATGGGGATATCCCGGTATGCGTTTACACGACCAAACATTCGGGTTAGAAAAGGGTTACCCCAGGTGTAGTAACCGGGTTTTTAAAAACCCGGTTATGAGCATATCCGGGTTTTGGGCGGTGTTTACACGGACCTGCGGAACCGGGTTATTGTGAATATTCTGGTTTTAAAAGGGTTACTGGCTGCATGTAAATGCACTCGATGATAGCGTGGAGGGACTACCAGAGGGCTGTGAAAACTAATACAACATTGGCTAATATACTCGACAAGGAACACAGTAAAAAGGTTAAATAAAATCGTGAGTATATCAAAACAATTGGTGAAGTGATTTTGCTTATGTGTGTGTGTGTTGACTACAAAAAGCAAATTGTATTGCGCAGATATTTTATTTGTTTGAATGTTTATTTTTCATATGTACAGTTTATATAATCTTCAAATAAAGTCACAAACTATAATAACTGACTAGAATTGTTTTTTTACTCAAGTCTCATGTTGCAGTGAAGCATTCAGAATTGTTATCTGAGTACCATAAAAACATGCCAGTTTTACTTTCACAAGTAAACCATTACTGCATTCACCGTAATAGTTTACTTGTTCATTGTCTTTTATTATGAATTTTTTTTCTTGCGCCCCCATGAAAAAATACTGGCCCCACTGTGGCCCCCCTGGAAAATTTGGTCTAGAACCACCCCTGACGTAGAGCTCCTTACCAACTCATTTAATGATCACTGCCTCAAAATTCTAGATCAGGTCGCCCCTTACAAAACCAGCCGCAGTTCCAGTGCCTCCAGTTCACCCTGGCTTAACAACCAGATTCTTGAACTTAGACGCTCCTATAGAAAAGCGGAACGACGGTGGAAGAGGACAGGTCTGGTTGTTCATCGCGAATATTTTAAAGAACTTCTCGAGTCATACAACAAAGCTGTTGAAAATGCCAGGTCTTCTTTCTTCAACAACCTCATATGCCAAAATAAGAATAATCCTAAGGTTTTGTTTGATACCATCTCCAGCATCGTATCTTCTCTTCCACAGCAGGCTCAGCTATCTTCAGCTGATGATTGTAACACCTTTCTCCACTTTTTTGCAAACAAGGTGTTGAATCTGAGATCCAGCATTCCACCAGCGCCCCCCCTCCCCCAGGAGGGGAGGCCCCCCAGTGCTCCGAGTCTTTCACCTCCTTCTCCCCAATTACACTAAATGACTTAACCTCAGTTATCAGTCAGATGAAACTCTCATCATGCTCTTCAGATATCTTAACTCCCTCTGTTTTAGCTTGGCGCTATCACTCCATCTCTGTTGACTATAATCAACAGCTCACTGAGCCAAGGCTGTGTTCCATCTTACTTTAAAAATGTAGTAGTGACTCCTCTCTTAAAGAAACCCAACCTTGACGCCAGCTCCACCAGTAACTTTAGGCCCATTTCTAAGCTACCTTTCATCAGCAAAGTACTTGAGAAGGTTGTTGAAACCCAAATCAGATCCTGGTTTTCTAAGTCAAAGATCTCTGACCCCTTCCACTCTGGCTTTCTGAAGCAGCACTCAACTGAGACTGCTCTAGTAAGGGTGCATAATGACCTCCTGATGGCTGCTGATGGAGGGAAATGCTCTGTCATGGTCCTGCTCGACCTCAGTGCAGCTTTTGACACTGTAGACCACAACGTTCTACTAAACAGGTTAAATGCCCTGGCTGGGATTTCAGGTTCTGCTCTAGACTGGCTCTCTTCCTATCTCACTAACAGAACATTCACAGTGAAGTCCGAAACCTTCTCTTCAGATACTGCCTCTCTAACATGCGGGGTCCCACAAGGTTCTAGGGCCTCTACTATTTGCATTCTATATTCTTCCCCTAGCTGGCATCATTCAGTCTTTCCCAGACATCTCCTACCACATCTACGCTGATGATATTCAGCTCTATATGTCCTTTATGCCACAGCAGTTGGACAGGCTGGCCACACTTGTACTCTTTCTGACCCAGATCAGTAACTGGCTGTCCAGCAACTTTCTTGTCCTCAATGCTAACAAGACAGAGACCCTGATCGCTGCACCCCCGGAACTTCAGCCAAAAATCAAGCAAGAAATTGCCTCTTTTTGCCCATCAGCCAAGGCCAACATTACAAACCTAGGAGTTATTTTTGATCCAGCTTTAAGTTTAGACTCACATGTCAAAACCATCTCCCACTCTTGTTTCTTTCAACTGAGAAACATTTCAAAAGTCCGTAAACTGGTTTCTACTGCAGATCTGGAAAAAATCATCCATGCCTTTGTGTCATCACGCTTAGACTACTGTAACGCTCTTTTTACTGGTCTCAGCAAAACCTCCCTCTCACTCCTTCAAGCCATCCAAAATGCAGCAGCCAGACTCCTAACCAAATCCAGCAGATGAGCTCACATCACTCCAGTTTTACAGTCCCTCCACTGGCTCCCGGTAGAATATAGAATACAGTTTAAAGTTTTAGTCCTGACCTATAGAGCTCTTAACAACCAGGCTCCAAGCTACCTATCTGAGCTTTTATCCCCACACACCACCTCTCGGAACCTTAGATCCACATCTGAAAACCTCCTGGCTGTTCCTCGAACCAGACTGAAAACCAAAGGGGACAGGGCCTTTCAGACTATTGAACCCACACTTTGGAACAGTCTACCTTCAAATCTCCGTCTCACTAACACTGTAGAGGTCTTTAAAAATCATCTAAAAACTCACCTTTTCATCCAGGCGTTCCCTCCCTAAATGTTTCAAAAAGATGGCTTTGTTCGGGTTCACACCTTCACTTTGTTCATACTCATGATT